AATGCAGAAAATTAAAACTCCCCTTTTTTGCATACAAATGTTACCAATTTAAAAACTTCCCTTTTCATCCTTCTCAATAAATTTCCACAACATAACTTCTTCTAAGAAATTCTTCTCAGAACACCCAGAAAATCCGTAAAAATTCAGTAGTTTTTGAAAAACTTACATAGAAATCAAGGTGAATAATCTCGTTGCTAAAACTCATTGGCCATAAATTTGGCGTGATCGTTGAGACCGATTGAATGCGTACATTATAGGCATTCAAACGTATCAATTTTGATTCAAACTGAAATGTCACATTCTCAAAATAAATTCTGTTTTCTGCATCAATTTTCGCTAATGATGGGAGTAACGGTTCAGGTCGTGTTCGAAGAGAAACTTGCGCCGCACGAGGCGTTCGTAGCACCTAAAAAACTAAACAGTTCTGGAAATTGTTCGATAATAAACAGTAAAAACCACAGTTTTGAATTCCAGAAACACATGATGACTCATAGGGTTCAGAGAAGAAGCAGAGAACCCGTTTTCCATTCAGACCGCTGAAGGATCAAAATATTTTTAAGAGAGAAATAATGAAGACTGAGAAATTTTTCAGATAGACTTAGAAAACAAAATAACCTTTTGCAAATTTTTGGAGTTAACCATAAGCTACAAGCAAAGTCAATGTATTTAGAAGGGCAGAATAAAAATGACCAAAATTTTTCTTAAAGATCGACTTTAACACAGTTTTGTGTAAAATATGATGGCAACTTAGTATGGCAACAGGGGCACAGGGATACAGTGCTTTACCTGATGCAGTGCTTCACGTAACAATTGCGAGGCAGCTCCAGAACCGACATCGATGGATACATCAGATGATGCACCTAAGCTGATGAAGAAGATTGTAACAAATACAACATGGCGATGACAATGCAGACAAGAAAGGCAGCCGCGCAGCATGCGCATTTAAGGGAGAAAGACCAAACACGTTGTTTTGCTGGTTGTCATCGCCATTTTCAAGGACACCGATTGCCGATCGGGTAAAAACGACGGTTACCAGATTGGCTGAAGACGTTAGTGCATGGCTTCGATAAAGGCACTTTATCAAGTAGTTATCGCCTTATTTTCTTTTGAGGAGCACTACAGGCGTCAGGCTCTCTGTCCGAAAACCTGATTTTGATTACCCTCAACAGAATTTTTTACCATTCTGTTTAACGACTGAATCTGGTCGTACAGTAACTGTTCGCAGAAATGAATCAGCAGTAAGCGTCAAAAAGTATGGAAGGTTTTCAGCAGTACCCAAGAACAATTACCACCGTCAAGCAAAAAAGTTTCTGCTTGGTACCGTGTCGTCAACCTTAAGTTAGTCGGAAAATTTCACATGCATTTATAAGACAAGAACTGGCCATAAAATCTTCCTTCCTTCTTTCATTTTGAGACTTCCTATTCTAGGTTTAGAACTGAAATAACGCTCTTTTTATTGCATTCCTTATTTTGAACACATTCTTGTTTGAATAGCAAGCGTTGAGACTTTATAAAAATTAGTGTAATTTTGGTTTATGTAATTACTATTTGAGCGAACGATATTTATGTTTGTCCCATAAAAAGTTGTTTTTTTATCAAAAAAAATTTTGCAAAACGACGATCTTCATCATCATTCAATTTGCCGATTACCCTGTTTATGTAATTTGCAAATGTTATTAAAAGTTATTTGTTAGTAAAAAGTAAAAAGCAAATGGATGAAATGAATTGTGATGAGAGCAAGAATAGTGTGAACCTGAGGGCCGTCGCAAATGAAATATTGCCTATTACTGGTTAATTTTTGTTAAGAAAAACTGCAACTAAACAAAAGTAAACAGATATCAGACTAACAGAACAACCCAGCTAAAAGTTTTATCTTAGCAGTTTCCATTTCAGTTTATCGGCCATCAGCAATTCTGGAAAAATTGCAAGTAACCGTGGATGATTCGCAGGTTATAAACCTGTCAAAACTTAGTAGGAGAGCGCAACAACTCAAAAAATTACAGTTTTCTTACTGTTAAGTCAGTTTAAAGACTTCCCTTATCAGCAAAAGTACAACAACGATTTACCATTTTAATATGAACTTCAATTCACCAAAGTAATCATTCTCTACTCAATTTTTCAATACGACTAAAATTTTCAAAATATTTTAATATTCATTTTTAGCTCTGTAGTAAAAGGTTAAAATAGGAAAAGTATGTAAACTGCAGCGAAAGGTGTCCACTAACTTTCTGTGCACAGGTCACGGTAAGAAATATAGTCCTATACAAACGAAACACTAAAGTGTGACCAGTGTGATTGAGATTTTGAATATAAACTCAAATGTTCACAAAGAAAAAACAGAAAAATTCTTTCAAAGCAGCCAGAGAAAAATGTGGTTTTTACTTTTAATGCAGAATACATATTGTCAGAAGTTGAAATAAGCCACTAATGACTTCTTTCCTGTGATTGTTTCAGTCGAATAACTTACGATTAAAACGACAAAGTAGCGTCACACATGAAAACCAAATTTTATGACGTTCTGAATAAGTCACTTTTTCGATCTTATACTTTAACCACAATCGCAGTTGTACTTTTTTTCACCCCAATTATCAACACTGAAACTATACCGTATTTTCAATATCTGTTCACCAGAATGACTTCGGCAGTACTTACTTCACACAGCGTGTTTAGTTAAATAAATTTTCAAATTGTATTGCTTACAACTGATACTGCTGAAGAGATGGGTAGGCCCAACCAAGTCAGAGGCCGCCAGAAAAGCGATCTTATCAACGATAACGATTCGAGCCCAGAGTCGAGCTCAGAGAAAAAGATAATATCAATACAGTCTTTATTTCTTTTTTAGTATTTTACAGGCCCGTTCCAAAGACACCCAAGTTTTCGTCGTAATAACTACTTAATAAAGTTATATTATTTAATAACGTCGCCAGCCCTGAAAAACTGTGGTCAAACAGTGTCGATGGAATGCCCGATATGAACCATAATACCAAATAAAATCCAAATAAAGGTTTTAAAAATTGACGGAAACATAGTACATTTAACGTAGTTTTTTTTCCTTCCTTCGGCTCTGCGAAATAAGTTCAAGTCTTAAAGTAACATATGAGATGTTTCATGTACATGTCGCACTAGATCACTCCAGAACCCATTCGTGGTCTGCTATGAAAATAACGGCTAAGCTTTCTTTACCTTCCCTTTCTAACTCTGCTTCTTACTTCCCTTTAAAGCACAACTACGTTTCCTCACTCTAGATCTAAACTGTACAGCCCGAGGGACGGTAGACTGGCAATTTACCAGCAGTATTCAATTCGTATATTCGCTGTAGCGGGAAGCACCTAAGCTGAGTGAATTCCAACACCTTGACAATATGCGTATTACTTCTTTGAACAGAGTTAACTCTGAGGGGTCTAAAGTTTCCCCTACACTTGTTTTTTCGTGTGTTTCTTGCGTTTTTAACACTCATTTTCCGTTTCTGAGTGCAACCCAGACGGTTTTCGTACAATCTTGAAGCGGTCTGTAAACCATATAGGTTCGTTTGCATAATGCTTAGTCCGGTCCTAAAAGCTTTCTTGTGTATTCCTGCTGCTCTTTTTCTGATGAAACTACATTTTGAATGAACCAACTTGTAAATTTTTTTAATTCTAAGCATGATTCCTGGCTATTTTTTTCTTGACTACAGCATTTTCCTCAGTGCTGTATTATTCTTAGGTAGTGCAAAGAATGGACTTTTTATAGCTACTGACATCAATATATTTAGGGCATGACAATAGTTTTACATAAACACTTAAGTTTTTCGCTGGCACCAAATAAAGCATAAAAAATTTAACGCCATTCTGGCGATGCCTAATATAACTCGTTGGAACCAACCGCTGGCGCTTAAAGAACGAAGCGTTGAACACTTCATTTCATTTGGCACAAATAAGAAACCTAACATTTTTCTGTAGAACCAATGTTATGCTCTAAAACATTGATATCAGCGGATGGCGTACTTCCTGTGCAATCCAAAAAAATACATTACGCTGGGGAAGAACAGAAGCGAGAACAGAAAAAGTCAAAAACTACGCTTAACTTTAAAAAAAGTTGTAGGTGACCACTTTCAACCCCTAGTTTCACCCAAAACGTGCAAGACGCTAGTACGATACGATAGCGCATTTTCCGGACCACCTTATGAGTTCCTCTACATCCGCAGGTGAACAGCAGAGATACATGAAAAAGCTCCTAGAACTGGTCTAGGTATCACAAAAAGAACCTAAATGGCGTGCAAAATTACCTTTTAATTTTACAACAAACCGTTCAGTTGCGTTCCAAAACAGATGTAACACGAGATCTGCATTTGCCGCTAAAAATGCAAAAAAACCGCAAAGATCGACTTAGGCGAAAAGTTTAGCTACTTCAAAGTTAACTTTATTCGACGAAATAATGTGCACAATACCAAATTGTTGCAATTCACCCAACTCAGAGGCTTTCCGCTGTAGCGAATCGCGGTATTTAATCTGCAACTGAGTTGGGTGAATTGCAACAATTTGGTATTGTGCACA